AAAAAAGTTATGAAAACGGAAAAACAAATATATCTAAATAAAAAAATGTTTTTGGGATGATTATTTTAATTGATACCACCGTTTTCTATATTAATGAGTGGACATATTTTGATTGTATTCTTATTTCTGATTTCACTATGCTGTAATGATTTCTCATCTATACAAAATCACTGACTTGTCCTTGTATACAAGAGGAATTGAAATTTAGCATTACGATGATTATGTAATATATCAACACTCATTTTCCTTCAAGTGAAACCACAGATAATTTTACATTTGTTGAGCAGGGGTTCGTCATATCTATGTATGCTTAGTAAAATTAATTCAAAGTATGATATATGCCCGTCTTATATCGACAGCGCCTCAGCCAATCATGATCCGAATGTCGTCTGTTTGACGGATCATTAATAATAAAAGATAATATACATTGTGAATAATAAAACATGACGTATACAATCGTAAAGCAGAAAAAAACATGTCTTCGCGTACTTGGCTAATAAACGGCTTTTTATCTCCATTTCACTTACTTGGGGCACGACTGAAATAGAACTTCTGATAATGTTGAAGACATTTCAAAGAAATCCGGGTGAAAATGTTTACATATACAAATTTATGTAAGTAGGATGTCATAGTAAATAAGACTTTTCAACACACCGTCAATTTGTGCCTTTCCTTTGATATTTTTGTGTGTGTGTAATGTTTGTGATGTTTTTACTCTGTATTGTTATGGTCTTACTACGTCGTATTCCACAGGTTATCGCGGTGGAGTCGCGTCGTGTAACATGCGGTAACCGAATGGGATAGTCGCAGATCCGGACTTTCGTTTTAAATAACTATGCCATTCCTAAAACGATTATGTTTCACGTTGTACCATTCAAGTATACATGTGTTCAGTGGGTGAAACATTTTGTGTTCACGGATTCGTTTTTTTTTTATATTACCTTTAGAAAAAAAAGTGCATTGTCATTTGATAATTATATATAATTGAACCGTGTCACATATATCATGTCAGCTTGAGTGTCATTATGACCTATCACCCCCATTCCTAAGACAAAATAGTATCCTGTTCACAGAATAAAATATTAAAAGGGAAAATGGAAAGTTATAAATGTCTTTATAAATGATGTCGTATTAACATAAAATCTTGATTTAGCTTTCAATAATTACGGACGATTTCATCACAATCACGTCTAGGTTTACTTTCATAAATCTAGATTTGAACAAACTCTTGTTCTTTGAATATTTCTCCCCCATTTAAGTATTGGGAGTGCTTGGATACAAGATAAGATTTTTTTATTGGGGTTTCTTGATTCAGTATTTAGCATTGGGGGTTCTTGGATACAGGATAATATTGTATTTAAGGGGGTTTCTGGATAGAGGATTTAGTATTGGGGGATGCTTGGATACAGGATTTATCCTCTCTCAAACAATCATGTATCCTCCCTCTCACACAACTATATATCCTCCCTCTCACACAACCATGTATCCTCCCTCTCACACAACCATGTATCCTCCCTCTCACACAAACATATATCCTCCCTCTCACACAACCATGTATCCTCTTTCTCAAAGGTGTGTGCGGGAACTAAATGAAGTATAAATGAGAAACAGAATATGCGCAAAAAAACAACAACTAGACATTAATCATACATGTAGTTAGCCGAAGGCTTTCAAATGTATATATAGTATAATACAGATTATAAAACCCTGTGGTACAACCACATCCTTTTTATGGTCGAAAACGTTTGGCAGTTATCTCCTACTTTCATTTTCGGAATGACTTTTAAGAGAAAATGATGAAATCCGGGACTACTTCTTGTTGCGCAATACACGTGTAGTTAACACCGTCACGTGGATGACTTGTTGATGACGTCGTAATTTGTGATGGACTAACGGGTCATTGAGAAAAAATCTGAAATTACACATACCTATACCATTTTTGAAATCTCCCCGTTTAAATTATAATCAATAACATATATAGCATTTTACTTTATTTAACCACTCAATATTGATATAAATTGAGTCTCATGCCATGGTGGCGTACTGAGAAATGTAGAAATTCAAATTTATCTATAATTACTAGAAAAAATGTTTAAATTTTTAGACCGTAACTGTACAACGTAATTAGCATAAGGAGAAAGTATAGCGTGTGATTCGTGGCGAAAGTAGGTCGTGCCGGTTACAAACGCTGATTCGGCTAACCTCGGCTGATTTCGGTACCTTTCATCAATACGGAATCTGCCGAATTGTCAGGGTACGGGAAAGCGGCACCTCATGTACGTAAACTGCGAGTGAAATTATAATACCTTTTAAGTACTAAGTTAAGCGTTTGGAGGATGAAATTGAACGCAACCGAAAAACTTTTACCCATATCAATTGGTACAAAATTCACTCAAATCGTATTATCTTTTTTCTAAACTGAAATTAAACGTATGTCAAAATAACGATTTGATAAGAATGTAGTTTTGTAGAAAGAAATCCCAAAGCTAAGAAGGATTTTCGGTCATTTTATTTACTTAGTCCCGATGTGATTGTAGAAAATGCTGAGTAACAACGGGTCGGCCCGGTGTTCCACCTGTAGGGGGTGAAATAGATATTGTTTATGTTTCCTTATTCGGATAGTAAGCATTTTACATTGTAGACGATAAAAGCAAAGCTCTTTGTCCATTCAACACCCTTATAATACTTTTCTATGAGTTGGCGCATTTTTTCTGTGTTGTATAAGTCTAAAATTCCCTTTAAAGACACGAACCTACCGGGATGAACTCTTCAGATGTTATCTCGGCATAGCCACGCGATTGGAATATCTATGGAAAAAATCAACTTAAAGGGTTTCTTTAAAGCATACTCGAGGAGCCTTGAGCAGATCCTATAGAAACCAGTTGTTTAAATGCGTTTAGATGTCCTTAGTTTTATTCAAATGTTATCTCCAAGTGTCATCGCTCAGCTATGTGTCCATGTACGGGAGCTGTTGATGTACCCAGTAGTCCCCGGGGACACGCCCGACCCCTTGTCAACAGGATACACACCCCAGACAGATACTAATTACCCAAAATTATATGTATGTTACTAGAACAGGTACCCCCTACGGCGTGACACCGGAAATAGCTAGCAACGAGGTTTCTTATCTCGCGCAGCCAGAATATATCCGGCCTTCATAACGAGGTGATGTATCGCTAATTATAGTCTAGATATCATTGTTAGACTTTCAGTAAGTCTTGCCGGTATTGTGAACCATCCTATAATTGAATTGTCTAGCATTTATTTATGCAGATTATATCAAAATGGTAATGACCTCCGGAACAATAATCAATCCTATTATCACCCTGACAATGGCATTTATATTCACTGTCCCTATCAATTGTAGTACTGCGCTGAACATATCACGACTATTTGTTGATGTAACGAATTAAAACAATGCGGAAACTTTCGCTTTAGTCAAATTGAAAACTTGTCATGTATTTTTAAATTTTCCTCGCATTGTTGTAAAATTTTAACTAGCTTACAAGTTGGTTACAAAAAACAACAACAACAAAAAATAACTACAACAAAAATATACTCTTTTTTTTTATAATATTTGAACAATAACCGATATGATAATTAATACAATTAACTTTTAATTATTCACTTACACTGCTCTATAATTTTACGAATAAGTTTTATGATGGTGACAGAGAGGAACAATTTTACTAATAGAGGATCTTCACAAAAGCCTTCCACAAAATATATTCTGACTCGCCTTCCTAGCTTGTACCTCTATATAGTGAATTCAAATTGAATTTAAACAGTATTGTAATTATGTCTTGTCTCTAATATAATTTAGATCAAAATGTTGTTGTGAACACTCACCAACTTATATTATTCATTTTGTATTTACAGGAAGTGTGACGTAACGACTTACGTTAGAAAAAGAAAAAGAAAGAATCTTCATCACAGAAAATGTTTTAACCACAGAACATGTCTTCAGTTAATATTCAACATAATGAGACTACATATGCCGTTTAGGTGGCGAGTCCATTTTAAATATTTAGTTGATGGATAATTAAGATTACATATGATCAACCGTCATCACACCTACAACATACCGCCTTGACAGTACACTATAGATGTAGAAAATAATATAACTGGGCCACGTGTCTCGCCTTTGAATAATAATGAACTGTCATTGCGAAGTCTTGTTTTTTTTATAAGTTCAATCACGTACTGAAACCCTGTGATGAATTTTGATTTATTTTATCTGAATTATTTAGAGATTAACGTTCATGGTAGATGTTTGTAGAACTCAAACACTGCGTTGTATTTTGATATATTTATCTGAATTAATAGCAATTTCGTAGAGTTACGTCGTCGGGTTCTTTTTTTATATTAGTCGTGGGCTTGTTAAAATCCAACGTTGTCACAAACTACACACATGTGTACAGCCATTTCATAACTTCTCTGTGTGACCTATGTGTATATCTCGCGTCCGGTGAATACAATACACTAGTATACACGTAATGGCGGTCCACGAAAGATAAAATACCACCGTGTATACACATCGATGTACAGAGGTGCACACACACACACAACATCCACACATCTCTGGAAAGAGACGGATCAGACCATGACCTTATGACCTTAAGTATATCAATGGATCTAGAGCTGTAAATGTAGTCCCTTCGTTTCGACTCAAAGTTACACAGAAAAACGATTTCACAACTTGTGACAGTGGCTTTATTTATTTCAGAATATTACTGTATCACGTATGACGTGATTCGTTTCGCGATCATCTAGTCATTTCCTATTTTACCCTATTTCACCACACCGCGCAGTGATATTGTCGTAACCTACTATTTTTAGAGAAAGTAGAGCGCTCTTGTCTATGATTACCACTAGACTCTAGAATGAATGACCTAGTCCTCTAAATATGGAAAAAATAATCCATTTTGGGGCGGGGCTTAGCTACGTCACCCATTCAGCGATTGGCTGTTCACGTGTTTGTTTATGCCGTCAGTTCTCATGCTTCATAAAACTCGGAGATCTATAAATCGGAGTGGAGACGAAACACGGTTATAATGGTATTGAGCTGACTACAAGTTCCATCACAAACTAGAACAAGTATGGAAAATAACAGTTCTTAAACCAAGGATATAAACAACAACAACAGTTTACTGTAGTCTGAGGATCTTATATTACTTCTTGTGTTCAGCTTTTACGTGATTTTCCCACTGCCAGCGTTATATTTTACTCGTGCCGTCGACAAGCGGATTACCAGCCCTTTAACGGTGTTGATATTATACATTAGTGTTTTGTTCAGTTAACTTTCCGTCGCAGATGCCTTGCGTAGAGTGTATGCTTAAAATGTCGGGAAATTTTGTGAGTCCAGACGGCCTGGTAGGTCTCTTCGGGTCGAGCGAGTCTCCCCTTCTCCTTGACTGTCGCTCTCAAGCCGATTTCACGAGATCTCACATCAAAGGCGCCATAAACATAACGCTACCGAGCCTTATGCTACGGCGATTAAAGAAAGGAAATCTTAAACTTTCGTGTGTCATTCAAAATAACGAAGCAAAGGACAAATTTAATAAGCTTTGGAAATCCCGCAATGTCGTGTTGTACGACGAATGTTCAACCGACCCCAACTCAAACCCCTCCAGTATTATCGAACTCTTGTTGAAAAAGTTGAATCAGGATGGAGCTAAAACGAGCATTCTAACCGGTAAGTGAACTAGTTGTACTGAAACATGTCAATGTCCTTTCCGTTAATAACATTTAATGATTGTCACTGTGTCATCGAACCGACATGACGAAGGATTTTCTTTGACATTCATATATATATATACATTAAGCCTATTACTGCCCAGAAGACTTGAATGGAAGCCAAGATGGCGCCAAATATCTCCATAACATGTTAAACTTAACATGTATCTATCACTAGTTAAAATGTCTACGTCAACTCTCCCTCCAGGGTTTGCTCTTTTTGGTTCCTTATGTAGGAGATTCTACTTAGATATACTGGTACGTTGTAATATGGGAATCTGGAGTCAAACATGTGTGAATTGCAGGGGAGGGAAGTTTCGAGCACGTCTCGGTCCACTGGCGTCGGTGACCTATGTTTCACACAGGTTATACACCTTCACAAATCTCTCCATTCACCCAGAGACGTATAATACACGTCTCTGATTCACCTAACTATGAACGTAGACGTGTATTCTGATGAGAGATATTAGGAAAAGGCACCGAGATACAATGGACAGGAAATGGACTGAGCCGTGCTGATAAAAATATACGAGTAAACAAGAGAGAGGGGGTTAAGTCAACACAAGGGTATACATTGAACAGGCTAGCGGCGAGGGGAGTCGTGGACTCGACCGGAAACCGCCACGATAAACAATTTATTATGAGGCCACACGAATTTAGGGGGCGCTCCATAGATAAGACCTGTCAAGGCTATCAGTATCTCTAGATAACCTCTAACGCAGACTATCCTTGACATAAATCAGTAGAGTAGCCAATAAACAACGCATATCTTTTAAATAAATAAACTTTTAATAATTTGTATATGTTTATCTGTTTTTCAGGTGGTTTTCCGTCTTTTGAGAACATACACAGAGACCATTGTGTCGGACAAGAAAATGTGGAAGAGACTATTTTTGGATTGTGCAATTTAAAAATTTCTGACGATTCTGGGAACGGTACGTCAGATTCTGACTGTGATAATGTGAACTCTCCCACGGCTATGTCCCCGTTCCCAGTGGAAGTGCTGAAGTACCTTTATCTCGGCAACGCCCGAACCTCGGCAGATATTGGCCAGCTGAAAAAACACGGGATCAGATACATTCTCAACGTTACCCCAAATGTCCCTAACAAATTTGAAGAAGACAACGACTTTAAATATATGCAGATTCCTGTAGCTGATCAACTGTCCCAGAACTTATCCGCCTTCTTTCCTGAAGCCATAGCATTCATTGGTAAGTGTCTAGTGTAAGAGGCAAGAGGGGGTAAATGGGTACTGCACTAGCAGCTGACCCGAGGTTAACGACAAAAAATAACACGAGCGGAACGCCAGCCGAGCTTTTAAACTGGAGCCAGCATGTGGCTTCCTTACTCAAATAGCTGTTTTGGGTATAAACATTCTCCCATAGACAAAATGGTCTCGAAACAACACATGACACAATTTTGACGGAGGTAGTCGCGTCAACTGCGTCTATTTGAAACCACCGTAATAATGAAAAGAAAGAAACTAATAACTTTTGACAAGAGGTTTTACTAGTTCTTGATGAGAGTAGAAGGCGTAAAGTTGACATGAATGACAAGACTTCTAGGATGAACCCCCGTTTTAAACCTCTCCTTAATAAGATACAAGTTAGACCAACAAAATACAACACTTGTCAGACAACGCCGTTACGCGTCGCTTATCGCCTACCTAGGTTCAAATTCATACCTGCCTATCAGGTGTACGAAAGTCTGTGTATTGGTGTGGGTTTCAAGGTGCCCGCGGCACAGACTACTTGTCAGGGGAGATGGATCTTGTCTTACACTCCGCTTCATGGCTGACCGAACACCGACTAACACGTGAAAAAAGCATCTTGATACTCCATATAAAATGACTACTTAATAATATACGACAACGTTATTGTATGTATTTAAATACAAAAAAGCGGGAGTTTCAATTAGAGAACGAAGGAAACAATACTCATATAGTTAAGAGGAATGGAGAAACTTTTATCAAACCATACTGCAGACCCCCTATCACAGCCACCGTACAAACACAGCACATGCCATCACGAGCACTACATGTGCACGTGAACACAGTCTAGCCTCGTAGCGATTCTGCAAAATGATGGGTGATGTAGCTGCTATATTTAGGTCACAAACACTTCCCTAGATTTAAAAAAGAGCCACCATCAAGGATAAATTTCGACTCTGCCAAGATTTCCGCGATACCGTGTATAATATTTCTCTTCATTGCCTCACGCAATTCCGTGAGATGGGAAGGGAGGGGGTTCTGGTTAAACATGTTCTCCCTCCGTTTCTGTGGTCTGGCTCACTACCAATTTGTAGTGCTGGATAAGTAGGGGACAGTAAGTTGTAGTGTCTGGGCACTGAAACAATAACCACGACAATGTACCTCCGCCATAATTAACCATTATTGTGTACCATTTCTTGTAGTGTTTTACCGATCAGTGATGAGAGTTTAACGAAAATATGTTTTTGACACATTAATGATACGTCTATTGTATTATCTTTTATTATTAACAAACCACAGTGTTAGTAGTTATACTGTCTATAACAGCACAGGCACTTAAATACGAGGGTTGGTAGGAAAGGATTGCAGTACTCCGATGCCAGTGTCGGTATAAAAGTAGAATTCACCATACACGTATATGTTTCCACTGTTTTGAAAGTCTGTCCTAGTTATCAAACTTAATTGGTTTAGGGGGAGATAGCGGGGCGGGCAGATAACATCCGCTACACTAATCAATAGAGAACAACCAACTACAGGAAACGTGGCCTAGAAACCAGTAACATAAACCAACATCCGCCGTGAGGAGGCATACCAGCATACCGCGCCACTTATAATTGCTCTGAAATAGAACGCTGCAAACCATTCTCCTGTACACGGCACGTTCAACCTCGCCTGGCGTTTCCGGTGTGTCTTCAGAACACACATACCTCTCGAATGTTTACATCTGCTTACATCCTTCCGTCTCTCAGGGTCAGTCGGGATGTGTCCAACTACCATGTAAACAAAATCACTTTCTAGTTGAATTCGTTCAAGCAGATTAAAAAACATAAAATTGTCATGCACCGGGAAATAGTGTTGATTTAACTGAGAAGGAATTTTTAAACCTAGGTTATTTTGATGATGTTTTTTTTTTTCATAGTCATATAATTTTCCATTTTAATAGGTTTCAAATTGTCTGCTTTACTTGTTGGACACAAAACTTAACCAATTTGACTTGTTTTGTCTTTACAGATGAGGCTCGTGAACAGAAGCACGGCGTATTGGTGCACTGTTTAGCAGGGATCAGCCGATCAGTAACCGTGACGGTTGCCTATCTGATGCAGAAACAAAAGATGAGCCTAAACGAAGCATACGACCACGTCAAAGGATGTAAACCAAACATTTCCCCGAACTTCAACTTTATGGGACAATTGCTTGACTTTGAGAAAGCCCTTACAGGTGTTGACCGCACTTCGGGTTTCACGTCATGTTCAGACTCTACAAACACAAAACTAGTGGCGGAGACGTGATCAGCACTCGTATCACAAATCGAACCCACCTAGTATCTCAGGGTGCCTGTCGGGTGCTAGCACCTCGCCCTACGTAGTTCCCGCCCCCAGAAGTTGATCCTTTGCCTCGTTGGGAGAATGACACAAACATAATACTGATATTAACTAGAAACGACCCGACGTGTCGAGGCGACTCGAAAAAGCGGACTCTTCAAGAGACAGATAACAATGTGCCAATTATACTGGGTTCTACCAGTAACTTCGAGGTTACAAATCAAATGCGCCAACTGTTTCCGAAAACAGAATCGAGGCAAATCGGAAACTGGCATTGATAAGTGCCTTTTTGTCTTTCATGGATGCTTTCTCTACAATGTAATTTAGCATTTGTATCTCGGTATACGGAGAATAAATGTAGAAAATACGGCAGCTAACAGTTTAGCTTTCAAAGCACACTGACCAAACCGCGTGACGTTACACAACATAGAACGCTTGACCAATAGATGACGGGTATGAAACTCCATACACACATCAATCCACCGCCATTTATATTGTTATTCATAGAATGAACGACGTCTGTAGATGTCTGGATTTGTTAGAGAGCTATTTCATTCTCCATTATTCATCCTTCATTATTCATTGAACATTTTTATTAAATGAAGATATATTTTTCTCATAACTCATCTCCATCTCGTACCATAGTCGTACTATATATATTTTTCATTGTTACAAAATATTAAAAGAATGTTATCATGTTTTGTCATTGTTTCGTTGTGTACTTGATAATGTTTACAACAGAAGACAAATAAAAGTCTCGTTTTATAGTGCTAACCTTGAGTTTATTATATCTGTACTCTCTTCAACCAATATGTTATGCATATTGTAAATTCAAAAAAAATCCTACTACTTTGTGAACTATCCTTGTTCGACGAAATGTAAGAAAATTAATGCACCTCAGGTAAACAAACGTTTTTTGAAATAGAATATGACTCTGGTTCCAATTATGTAAACTTGAAACGTATGTCATTGGTCGCCTGTGACGCCCGACATTTAATCTGGTGTTTTTCGGAAGGTCTTGCCTTTATAAACGGAATCTGGTATTCAGAGAGCAGCTATGAACGCTCTTGTGTATGTTTTCAAATGTAAAACATTTTTACACTTGAAAAAGGAAGTACATATATATGCCTTCAGTTTATTGAACAAGAAGTGTAGAACTTTTTACGCTCTGAATTGAAGAAAGTAGCGGTTTAGAACCTCTTAACGAAGCTTTATATTCAAATATGATAAGCGTCCCCAAAAGTAACATAACAAAATCGACGTTTACCATCAGTCAGCGTCAGTGTAACTTTGTAAATTCGAGGTACGAGACCCAATACGCACATTAAAATCATATATAAATATGAGTTTAAGCTCTCCTAAATGGAACATAACATTGTCAATTCGAAGTTTAGCGATCCCAAAACCTTGGATTTACATCGTAAAGTCGAAGGTAGTAAACCTTTACGTACATTTCATACTAAACAGAAGATATGGACACCTGTAAAGTGTAGCTTTACATCTTCAGGACACGTATGAGGTTAAGGGAACCATTACGTAACCATACAAGATTTATATTAGTTTTAGTAATAAAAATGTAGATTTACATTGTAGGTACTAGGTTTAGCACCACCGTGTGTTCATTACATAGAAATTACGAGTATACAATGTATTGTATATGTATTTTCTTGGTTTCAAATGAAATTTAAAGTTCAGAAAAGTATTTGCATTTATCTGCTCTTTCTACAAATATATAAGTCTGGGGTAAAAATGAAACCTGATCAGCTCTTTCCTTTCTTTTTTTTTGTTTTCCCAACAAGTTGTAAATCTTTTTTTTTTTACTTGTTAGTATGCTGCAATCAGTATGAAGCTCCTCCTCCTCCTCCTTCTCCTCCCTTTCCTCCTCCTCCTCCTTCTCCTCCTTCTCCTCCTCCTCCTCCTTCTCCTCCTCCTCCTCCTTCTCCTCTTCCTCCTCCTCCTCCTCCTCTTCCGGCGTGTCAGGTGTGTTGTTGAAACAATAGATGCATTGTAAACATACTGTAGGCACACGCTAGACTAACATAACATTCTAATGTTAAAACAATGAAATGCATTGTTAAAACACACACATTAATTGTTAGAGCAGAAACAAATATATATAACTGCTTTGGGAAATATGGGAAAGATAAAAGATATAGATACTTTTAGATAGGCAATAAAAAACCAAACTACGTTAGAGTACTTCAATGTGGTAGCAATCTGTATTGCGGGGACACCTTGGTAACGATCGGTACATCAAGTTACGGATATTCTTAATCCGAAAAAAAAAAGAAACGGAAGTTTAGCTAATGGAGCAAAGAAACGGATACTCCTTATTGGAGAAAAGAATTGGAATTGTTTTATTGGGTAGAAACTTCGGTAACGAGAGGTGTATTCAAAGAATAAACAGAATGGCAGAAAGGCAGACATATATATATTTCTGAACATTGTTTTGAAAGTTGTGCTAGGAAATGTAGAAATATCTCAAAGAATGATCCTGATGCTAACTAAGAAGTAGACTGTGTATTCAAGATGAATTTGGTACTGTAGGTGTAGAACCATGTGAGTTAGAGAGGCGGTGCAAGACAATGAAGTGTGTGGGTAGGTCATGTGGGCGGTAATTGTAATTGTCTACATTCTCACGCTTATTACTGAACGTGCCGTAACTCACCACGATTGATCTGAGACAAAAACAAGAAATGCCTGACGTAACATTTTCGCGAGTGTTCTGCCTCTCGAATTGGTTCCATTGAGGGTTTTCTTGGAAGGCTTCCAATGTCTTTGTGTTTGTCACCTTTGATTACAACACGCTTCTACCTTCACCACCTTCACGCGTTCCATTCAAAGTGCAACAATTAAAAAACAACTGTCAGAAAAAAAAGTGTGTGGTTTGTTTGGGAAAACATGTAACATTACCTAGTGTTCCACCTTGTCGTTTGAACACTAATTGATGTTGTTTGTTTTGTGTGCTTTCATGTTTATTTATTTTAACGCACAACGATCCAGGTCCTTTCAAATCGTATACCATTGCTATAAGACTATGAGAGCTATTGGAATTCTCTTCGGCTTCCTTGTATTGGTGTCAGCTGTTTATTGGTAAATTCATGAGTAACATCAGAATCTCTTCCTTGTACAACGTACTTAAATACTGTGTTAAATATACATCTTGTAACATATGTTTGCTAACTTATGACTTCATATGTGCTAGTTAACGTTCTAGTAGACGATTTGCATGTCGTCACTTTTTATGTTACTGTTGCCTGTTACCGACTTCTGTTGCATTCATTTTATATAGGAATCGTCTGCATGTTTTAAATGGAACATCTTCTAGATCTCTACTTATAGAACAGTGTTGATTAAGGAAGACAAAGGGAGACCGATTATTAATAATTATATATTTCTTCGTTTGTTTTACCTATTTACCTGTGTTATCTATGTTTTAATGATTTTCTTTTAACATAGTTGGTCATATTGCTTCATCATTAGTGTATTGAGGATCCCACAACTCCAAAATGAAGAAAATAAGAATATTTTTTTTTATAAAGATTGAGTTTTATTGCATATTTTCTCTGTTACAGTAGAATGAAGCGATAAAACAGTACTATTTTGAAAAAAAAGGTTGTCGTATAAAATTCATAGTAAGTCGGCAATAAATGCTACAATTACGAAGACAGATATAATGAAAACGACTCTGTATGGTTCGGGCCATTTTTGGTTTGCCCCTCCTATCAATAAAAAAATCAAAGGCGATTTTAAATTTCAATTCACTGTTTCTTTAATTTCAAATACTTCCCTGGTATTTTCGGCTTTACGATTGCTATAGTAAACAGTTAATTTGCATAAACTATTGGAAAAAGAGTGAGAAACGAAAATGCTTCAACTGATTTGATCATTGTTTATTAAGGGAACAGTTCTAATGCATTTATGCGGATACATTGAGTAGCTAGTTCAAATCTTTCTTAGGTTGTGAAAAAATTTACAGCATTTGTGAGAAGAAGTGAAGCGGTTTGATGTTTAACTGTCAAGTGATGCATCATAGTGTTCATTATACCAACAAGCCAATGTCATAACTGTGTGGACGCTGCAGATAGTAGTCACGTCATACCAGCTTATGCAATGTCAAATACGACTCTCTTGGTTTCTATGAACACTGGTAAAAAAGGGAGGCTTTTAAAAACGGCGTTGCACTTGCACGAGTTGTTGGACTAAAAGAATATACACGCACATGCATTTACGTCTAATAGTACACGGTTATTGACCAATGGAAAGTATTTTAACATCATTGCCTTGGAAAATACATAATAAACAGTTTGTGGATGGTTGAGACAACGAAAATATATTTTATAGAGAAAAAGGAATACTTAAAAGTCATGGTATGGCAAACAGATTTGTATAAGTATTTTATTTCTAGTCAACACAGCTGACAGTTTTGTTTGACATACGTTATTCCTGTAGTGTTTAATCCTACATAGATCATAATGGCGTTATTTTAGAGAAGATGCAAACTGCTGGTCTTGGGTAACAACCTTGAACATGAGAGGGTGTTTATGACACATTGTGCGTAATACGTCAGCACTGGGTGTAGATATTGTCACGAGTTACTATGAAAACCGCGTTATATTCAGCATATACATTTGTGTGAATGGCCTCATCGATACCAATATGAAATTATTAGTTATAAACTGTTAAAAACAATTTTCCGATGTTCTTACCTCCCCGGCGTTCAGATTGTTAATGTCGTCTTGTCTTTGTAGTATGGTTATTGGCGAAACCAATACCGCTTACTGCATAACACGAAATGTTCGTGGATTCTTTCCTTCGTGGTTAGAAGTCATTTAGATCGTTTCGTGGTACAACCTTTCGTGGATATCCTATATTAACAAACAGTAGACACGTATATCATTCAAATTCGTTGTATTTATGATCGTGGTTCAATAGCAACCACGAATGTCCATACACAACGATCCTTTCATATTATACATTATTACAAAGAAAAAAGCCAATTCTCTTTGATTATTTTCTATAAAATAACGTTAAACTTTGATATATATATAGGATTTTGAATGTTTCCCCGTTGATTACAGTATGTATGTCTCACAATATGACTAAGCACGAGTGAAAATATATTGTAATATTCTGCCTTATGAACCAATAAAATATGCAAAGCGAACTTATAAAATGTGCTTAGCGAACCTTTAACATGTGGAAACAATTCAATTGTATGTCTATCAAATTTTAAAGTTCCTACAACGAATAAAATATTACTAAGTGTGGTTATTATAGGGTCATTAATAAGCTATTACCATATTACAATGGTATATTAGTTATTAGGTCGAGGTCTGTTTCATCGGCTTTATCAAAGCTCCTTTTATTTATTCTTTATTTGGATATAAGATGAACACACACACAGTTTATTGCACCTATAACACTTGGAAATTGACACAGTACAATTGTATGTCAAAGATAAATTACACTGCGTCATACAGCTGTTTCGTTCTTCTAGGACTCATCGGTGAAGCTTGGGCCCAACAAAAATGGAGAAACAGAAGGGAAGTGTGTAAATCCCTTGATTTATGGTTTTCAAAATTTAGTAATAATCTGATTTTATTTCTTTAAAACATCAAGAAAAAACTCAACAAAAGGAAATCATCTCATGAGATTCTCATTGTAAATTTAGTTTAGATTGAACATTTTTTTTTTTTTATCTTTTTTTTTTTTTTTTGCGGGAGGGACATCCCTCTTAGTTATATATCCTCCTGAGATGTTGGCGTCAGTAA